AAAGAAAGAAAGAAAGAAAGAAAGAAAGAAAGAAAGAAAGAAAGAAAGAAAGAAAAAGAAATCCTGTCTGGCTTACTGCATGTGGCTTACTGCACGTAAGATAGTTTTCTCTTCTAATGTGGAGTTAAAAGGGTGGTTATACCTTAACTCCCACGGACATCTTCTGTCTTGAAACGTCTACCTCCTGCCTATGGTAACCTGCTAGAAGTTAATTGAATCAGATTGCTGATGTTCAAGAAACATACTGATGGAAACCTGTGCATGTGTAATCATTATTCCCTGGCATTTGTGTGGCAGGAACAAAAACTTAAAGCTGCTTTGCAATCTGATTTAATCCTGACCACAGTCCCCAATTGTGCCAATTTGGTCCCTTTTACAGGTGGAGAAAACAGGCCCAGAAAAAGGCTAGCTTGAAGTCACGTACCAAACAGTGATAAAGAAACAGAGTCCTCTGCCACAGCACATTGTAGCTGAGTAGACAGCTATTCGAAGTGGGTCAGTCTGAAACTTGGAGGGCCTTGGTGTGCGGCAGGTTTGTGGTGTGGCCTGACAGCTCATAGTGTTCGCCCTAATCTGTTGCTGGAAAAACTTCTTGGTAGGCTCTCTGACTGGAAAGGCTCCTCTTGGTTCTTTAGTTTATCCATTTGTCCATTTGTTCAGTCCATACTGAGGCAGGACTTCAGAGAAAAGTGCCTCGTGGCCTAGGGGCCCGTGTAGGATACAATCTGTGCTGCCATACTCGACTGTTGCATGAGAACTTCAATACAGGACCTTGACTTTGACTCAGGTTTCGGGGAAGATGCCTCGGCTGAGAGCTGGAAAGCGAGCGCTTGGTTAACATTAAGCAAAGTGCGCTGGGAGGGCATTTCCGGAGAGAACAAGTCCCAGGTAAATGCTTGAGCAACTAGGGAAAAACTAGGGTGGTTGGTGCTCAGAGAAAAAAGGCGAAAGCAGTGTAAAGATGAGGCTGGAGAGAAAAGTAGGTTTTCTGATCTCCATGGGAAACTTCTTTTGGAAAAGTAGTTCTAGACCAAGGTATGCAGCCAGTTTGCTCCCAGAGACTGCACACTCCCCAATGGCCTTTGCTGGTTTTGGGACACAGTCTCTGAGTTGGCAGAGGCTGGTGACTTTGCAGAGATGGCCTGCCAAGTATTTCTTTATTCAAGCTGTCATAAAGTGAGAGAACCCACTTTGGGGGAGCATTTTGCTCGATGCCCCTTTCTTGGAAGTAGGAAGCAAAGGCCTGGCACCTGGACGTTCTACTCAAAGATCGTAACCTTTTGTGGTGGCAATTCCATCTGAAACCAAACCCCTGGAAATAATGCAGCCTTGAAGAAGGCACCAATAATCATCTTTTAGCCTGCCAAGCTTCAAGGTCACAGCTAGTTATTATCGTAACCCCATCAGTGTTCCATCAGTTCTGTCTTCAGGTGTAACCTGATAATTTCTATACTGTTATTACGATTAGAAGAATAACTTGCCCACAGACTCAATCAAGGCACTGTTTATGGGAGGGGAAGTTAGGGCTTCCAGGAGTTTAATCCCTATTTTGTGTCTGCCTTACCCCCTGAGAAGGATGGTCCAGCGAAACAACTATCATGAGACAAGGCTGCCTGAAACGCTTGTGTTTATCACCAGCTGTCCCTCCTTAGGCAGTGATCCAAAGGCCTACCTTGTGATGTCTTCGCTTCCTCCTGAATCGGAGCAGCTCTTTGTGCTGCCGAGACACAAAGTTGACAGCGGCATACTCAAGCAGGGCTGAGAACACGAAGAGCAGGCACACCGCCATCCAAATGTCAATGGCTTTCACATAGGACACCTGGAGTGGGGGTGGGAACGAACACAGGAGGGTGAGGGCAGAGGAGAATGAAATATCTCAGTATTTCTGCTTCTCAGTAACTCTGCCATTACCCATTGCTATCCCCTTCCTCAGCTGGGGTATTAGGAAGGTGCAGAGGAAAAGAGAAGAAAAATGCATCAGGAAGACGGCATGAAACATTGGAGAAAATAAAATATGGTACCTAGACGAGTACTAGAGAGAGGAGAGGGGAGAATGGTGTATCGAGCATCATCACTGAGCGAAACGGAATGTTGCGCTTAGCTAAGGGTGATAGGAACAGAACGGTGTACCTAACATTAAAAGTAAACAGAGGATGTTAGCAAAAGCGACAGGGTAAGATCTTCAGAAACACTCTCCTCTATAAAAGCAACAAGGACAACAGCAAAAATGGTCAGAATCAACTTTCTCAGAAGCCCTCTTAACCAAAGGCTAACAGCACTCTTGAAAGCATTTACTTAAAAAGTCAGCGGAATGCCAGCAAGAGCATCAAACGTGGTGGCATTAAAAAAAAAAAAAAGAAAACAGCTTCATTGAGATATTACACGCTTACAGTGTGTATTTCAATCGTTTTTAATACATTCCAGATATGTGCAACCATCATCACGGTCACTTTTGGAATATTTTTAGCACCTCTAAAAGAAACCTAATACCTTTTAGCCATTGTTCTTTCCCCTATTCCTCCAAGTCCTCTCCCCCCAGTCCTAAGCAACCATTAATCTACTTTTTGTTTCTACAGATTTCCCCCTTCCGGACGTTTCATATAAATGGAATCATACACCATGTGGTCTTTTATGACTAGCTCCTTTTACTTAGCATAATGTTTTCAAGATTCATCCATGTTGTAGCCTATTTCATTCTTTTTGATGGCCAAATAATATCTCCTTGTATGGTTATACAACATTTTGTTGATCCAGTCATCCGTTGATGGACATTAGGGTTGTGTCTACCTTTTGGCTATTATGAATAATGCTGCTATGAACATCTATGTACAAGTTTTTGTGTGGACATGTATATTTATTTCTCTTGGGGCCTTGTGGTGTTTCAACTTGCCATATTCGCATCCTCCTCTTCCCAGCTCTGTGCTAGACTTGAAAACCAACAGCCTGCAAGCACAGTGAAAACCAGTATCCAGGCAATCAGTGGCCGGGGCAGAACAGAGTTAGAGCTTCTTTAAAGCTTCATTCCCAGAGAACCGTCATTATTTGACCTGTCTTGTGGTTCACTGAAAGACCTCACTCACTAGGCAGTCTTTTATTTGAGCTGACTTGGAACTGGCCCAGTGTGAACGGCCTTTTCCCTGGGGGCATTTGTTGAAAAGAGTCAGTGGCAATTGTTGAACATCACATCCTCCTGAGGTAGTAGGTGACAGTTCAGGCAAACAATACGTTGATCAAAAAGCTTAAAAGGAAAATCTGGGAATGCGATGTCCACGGGAGCTTTAGAAAAAGCTCTGACATATACATGGGAATCTGTGTGCATGCACAGGCCTGTGTGGGTACTCAGGGAAGACCTGACTGGGAAGGCCCCTTAGCTCTCAACTCTGGCTGACCTTGACACACTGAGCAAGCTGCAAGTGAAGGGTAAGGCAAAACTGTAAACTTCCTGGCTGAGTGATGAAGGTGTGTTCGAATATATATATATATATATATGGCCCCTAGGAAAAGGCCAGGAGATTTATAGGTTCCAGGCATTTAAGGAAATTTCTGTCCAATTTTAGGTAATGGCCAAGCTAACAGAGCAGAGACTTCAGTGGCCGCACACAACAGAGAATACAGATGTTACAGAATTGGTTCACAAAAGTTGCTAAACAAACAGCAAAAACAACAAATCCTGAGGAGGGAGTGCAATCTGATTTCCACAGATGCCACATCACATTATGTTAAGTGTGTAATTTTCAACCCTAAATTATAAGATACGCAAAGAAATAAAGGCTAGCCTTGCAGTGGACTAGATGTTTGTGTCCCGTCTCCCTGTCATAGGTTGAAATCCTAATTCCAATGTGATGGTATTTGGAGGTGGGGCCTTTGGGAAGTAATTAGGTCATAAGAATGGAGCCCTCATAAAGGGATTAATGACTTTTTAAAAAGAGGCCAGATAGCTAGCTCTCTTTCCACCATGTGAGGATATAATAATAAGCTGGCAGTTTGCAACTGGACGAAGGTCCTCACCAGAGCCCTGCCATGCTGGCACCTGACTTCCAGGCTCCAGAACTGAGAGAAATACATTTCTGTTATTTATAAGCGACCCAGTCTCTGGTACTTTGTTACAGCAGCCTGAATTGACTAAGACAGGTCCATCCATAGGGAAAAAAAAAAAAAAAAGGCGGTCAAAAGAAGCTGCCCCTGGGGAAGCCCAAATGTTGGACTTAAGCAAAGCTTTAAATCAGTTATTTTCAGCATGTTCTAAGAGCTAAAGGAAACCTTTAGCTTAAACCTTTAGTATAAACGACTAAGAAAAGCACGAGAACAAAATCTCACCACATAGAACGTGAGATAGAAATGATAAAAAGAACAAAATAGGAATTCTGGAGTTGAACATTAAATAGCTGAACTGAGGAGTTCACTAGAGAGGATAAATAGCATATTTGAGCAGACAGAAGAAAGATTCCATGAGCTTGAGGTTATCTTGTCTGAGGGACAGAATGAAGAAGAATGAAAAGAGACTCAGAGATCTGTGAGGAACCATTAAGTATACTAACATGTGTCTAATGAGTGTGCCTGAAGGAGAGGAGAGAAAGAAGCAGAAAGAATATTTGAAGTAATGGCCAAAATTTCCCCAAATTTGAAGAAAAACACTAATGTACACGTCTAAGAAGTTCATGAACTTCAAGCAAAATAAACTCAAAGGGATCCACGCCTGCACACTTCACAATCAAACTGTCAGAAGACAAAGAATCTTGAAAGCCACAAGAGAGACGCAACTCATCATGTACAAGAGATCCTCAATAAGAATAACAGCTGATTCCTCGTTAGATTGATTATATACTTTTAAGTTGGGGGAGGCAGCTCGAGATTATTAAAGCATGGGACAAGACCTGTGGGCAGAAAGAGCTGCACTGTGATTCTGAGGAACGAGATGTCTCATCAGAAACTAAGCAGTCTAGAAGGCAGTGGAGTGACTGACCTAAGTCAATGAGAAGACATCTGTTGTTTATAGACTGGAAGACGTGATATCGTTAAGATGGCAATACTCTCCAAATTCATCTCCAGACTCAGTGCATTTTCAGTCTCACTTCCTTTTTTATTGTTGTTGCAGAAATTGACAAAACTGAGCTTAAAATTCATATTCAGATTCCAATGGAAAGGCAAGGGATCCGGAATAGCCAAACCAATCTTTAAAAAGGACCAAGGTGGGGGACTCACACTTCCCAATTTTAAAACTAACCACAAAGCAACAGTAATCAACTGTGTGGTACTGGCATAAGGATACATACACAGATCAACGGAACAGAACTGAGAGTCCGGAAATAAACCCATACGTTTATGGTCAATGGATTTTTGACAAGGATATAAATTCAACGGAGGGAAAAAGATAGTCTTCCCAACAAATGGTGCTGTAAAAACTGGGTATCCACATGAAAAAGAGTGATATTCCTCCCCTACACCATATGAAAAAATCAAAATGGATTAAAACCTAAATTTAGGGTTAAACTATAAAACTCTTAGAAAAAACCATAGATAGAAATCTTTGTGACTTTGGATTAGGCATTAGTTTCTTAAATATGATAGCAAAGGCCAACCAACAAAAGAAAAAATAGATACATTTTACTTCATCAAAATTAAAACCTTTAGTGTATAATGGACCCTACCAATCAAGTGAAAAGATAACTCCCAAATTAGGAGAAGATATTTGCAAATCACATATACGATAAGGGATTAAAATCCACAATGCGCAAAGAACTGCTACAGCTCAACAACAAAAAGAAATACCTCTATTATAAACTGGGCACAAGATTTGAATAGACATTTCTCCTAAGATCTAGAATAGGCCAATAAGCACATGAAAAGATGCTCAACATTATTATTAGGAAAACACAAACCAAAACTATAGTGAGATACAACCTCACATCCACTAAGATGTCTGTAATCCAAAAGACAGATGATAATAAGCATTGGTGAGGAAGTGGAGAAATTGGAACCCTGGGGAGATTATCACATGGTGTAGCCACTTTGGAAAATAGTTTGGCAGTTCCTAAGAAAGTTAAGCATATAGTTGCCACATGACCCAACAATTCTACTCCTAGATATACACCCTGTGAGGGTTGAAAATATTTGTCCACACAAAACTTGTACGTGGAGGTTCATAGTAGCATTATTTAAAATAGCCAAAAAGTGGAAATAACCCAAACATCCCTCAGCCGATGAATAGATAAGCAAAATATGATAGACCCATACAAGGGAAATATTATTCAGCCACCAAAGAGAAAGAAATACTGGTAGAATGTACAACACAGATGGATCTTGAAAACATTATGCTAAGTGAAAGTGCACGTTTTATCTTATTCCATTTATATGAAACGTCTAGAAGAAGCAAATTCACAGAAGTAAAAAGTGGAGTAGTGTTTGCTAGAGGCTGGTCAGAGGGCGGAATGAAGAATGACTGTTGATGAACACAGGGGTTTCTTTTTGGGGTGATGAAAATATCCTAGAATTAGATAGTGGTGAGGATGTACACTTTGTGAACATATAGTCACTGAATTTTATGCTTTAAAAAAAGTGAATGGGGGAATAATGTGAAGTTGAGTATTACTATAATAGCAAATGGAGTCAAATACACTGTCTGGTGTTTACAGTGAGTGGAACAGAATGTTGAGTCTAGCGTAAATTATAAGTGAAAGACAATGTGGCATCGACTATGAATAGACAGTGGAGCAGGATGTTGAGTCTAACACAAGGAAAAGAAAGCAGATATAGCTGCTGTTACAGTTGCACAGAGCACAGTGTGTTGTCAAGTGGTAACAGGAAACGGAATTTGGTCTCAAGCATCTATGGTGAATCGAGCAGAATGCAAAGTTTGGTGTTAATAGCGCAAAGCGCAGATTAGGGAGCTTTGTGTAAGAGTGAAGAGAGGAGACAGTGGTGTCTACTGTGGATGGCAAATGAAGCAGAATGTCTTCTCTCACGTTGAGAGTTAGTAGAACAGTAGAACAGTTTGGTCATAGAACCAAACAACAGTAGGGAGAATGTTCTAGATTAAAAGAGAAACCATGAACAACATGAATCTTTATTGGATCCGTGATTGGATCCCTCGCCATATTTACTGATGATGCTTTTTGACAACTGGGGAAATTTAGATAAAGTTTCTGTATTAGATGACACTACAGAATTATTTCTAATTCAATAATTATTGATATAAAATTGGTAAATATATATAATTTATATAAATATGATTATTATTGAATTAATGCTAATTTTTTCAGATGTGACAAGTATCACGATCCTTATTCCTTACTTAGAGATAGCTTGTCATGATGTGTGTAATCATCAAATGACTCAGCAAAGATTTGTCTACTTACTTACCTACCCACCTACCTACCTACCTACCCACCTACCTACCCACCTACCCACCTACCTACCTACTTACCTACCTACCCACCTACCTACCCACCCACCCACCTACCTACCTACCACCTACCTACCTACCCACCTACCTACCCACCCACCCACCTACCTACCCACCCACCTACCTACCTACCCACCCACCTACCTACCTACCCACCTACCTGTGTATAGAGAGAGCTAAAGTAAATGTGGCAAGATGATAACAGTTGGAATCCAGGTGAAGGGTATTCAAGCGCTCATTGTATGGTCTTCCAACTTTTCCATATCAAAACAGAATGCTAAGTGAGGCCTTAATTGGAAATGGTGCAGTGTTGCGTTTAGCATAAGGCTGAAGGGAGCCAAACATGGAGTCTGGCATTAACGGTGGAGCTGAATGTTTTGTCTGCTGTTGAGTGATTAAGGCAGAACGCGGCACAAACGATAGTAGTGAACGGAGTAGAATGCAGTGTCTAGGCATTAAAGGAGAGTAAAGCAGAATGAGGCATCAAACATTCATAGTGAAGGCAACAGAATGTTGTACCTCACGAATGGGTGACTGGAGGAGTATGTGGTGTCTGGCGTTAATTGTAAATGAAGCAGAACATTATGTCTAGTGTTAAAAGTGAATTAAGCAGAATGTGAGGTCTGGTGTTAGCAGTGAAAGGAACAGAATGTTGCATTTATTGTAAGGGTGACTGGAGGAGAATTAGTGTGTGGTGTTGGTAATGAATGAAGTGGAATGCCGCGTCTGGTGTTAGAAGAATGGAGCAGAATGTTGTGTCTAGTACAGAGTGAATGGAGCAGAACGTGTATCCGGCTTTAATGGTGAATGGAGTGAAATGCTGTGTCTAGTGGTAATAGTGAACGGAGCAGACTGTGGCTCAAGTGTGAACAGTGAAAGTGACGGGATGTGTTGTTGCACATTAGAAATGTGGGAAATAGGGGCAGAAAAATGTTACTGTATGAGTTTTAAGATGATGCTGCTATACTTCGAAAGTCGTGCTTGTAAGATTGGCCCTTGGTTGACATCTGGGAACTTGGATTTGGGGAATGTTCCCACTTCCCCTAACTGATCAGGGGGCCTTGCTGTGCAGAGAATGCCTGTACAGACGATATGGTTTATGCTGAACATTTACTTTCCTCCTGGGAGTCTGGAATTTTCGTATGTGCTAGGCAGAGCATGTGACGAGCACCCAAGAAAAAACACTGATACAGAATCTTAAAAGAATCTCAAAGCAATTTCTCTGCCTCTCTGGGCAGAAACATCTCACACGCGTGACTGCTTTTGTATTGTTGGGGTAAGAATGTACTCCGTGTGGTCCCTCTCGTGGGAGGGAGAAAACAAGGAAGCTTGCACATGGATTCCTCCAGACTCTGCCTGCGTCTTTTCCCTTTATCACCTAGCTTATGTCCTTAATACGTCACTGTAAGAAATCTTAGTTGTGAGTACAGTGCTATGCTGAGTCCTGTGAGTCGTATCAAATTTCTGAATGTAGGGATGGTCTTGGAGACACCCAACACCAAGTATCTACTGTTACTGGTGAAAGAAGCGGGGTGTTGCATTTAGCACTAAAAAGGAATGGAGGAGGAAGTGGAGTTGAGCGTTAATAGTAAGTGAAGCAGGACGTGTGTGCAATGTTGGCAGGGAATGGAGCAAACTGTGTTGTCTGGTAACTGTATACAACATAATGCACATCTGGAGGAGAGGTCTGCTGGATCAGAATGCTGGATCCTAGTTGGGCTTCAACCCCTGATTCATGTCTGTGGAGATGGACCATGGGGTGACCTGTGGAGTGACCTACCATTACCTTTCCCTCATTTTAATACTCAAATCTCCACCCAAGGGGGAGCACAAGCCTCATTCACATAATATACCTATTGGCATGTTTCCTTAAGGCACATGCGCAACCTTACGCCCGCCTGTACATACAATGATGAGGCTCCCCTTTCTATATGCATCCTGACCCTAAATAAAAGGAACCCATTCACCCTCACTCAGGGACTCATGGCTTTGGAAGTTATTCCCCATGATCTCCTTATTTGCTGCAAATAAGTTTACTGTGTGCAATAACTCCAAAACACAAACAAAAACACCTCCAGAGTGCTGGATCCTGCCAAGTGTAGTAGATACATAGTGACAAATTCCTTCCGCTCTCTTTATCTCAGGCAAGGTGGGGAGATGAGAGTCTGTTGTCCAGGTGTGCTGTGCTCTTGGGCAGTAGGACTTACCTTGGGCAGGGATGCTCGGGAGCCAGAGCTCTGGGTGGTCATGGTGAGCACAGTGGTGATGCCCAGGCCCACACGGGCTGGCGCGGCATCCATGTTGATCCAGAAGGATATCCATGAAAGGATGACAATGAGCAGGCTGGGAATGTACATCTGGATCAGGTAGTAGCCCATCTGTCGCTCCAGGTGGAATCGGGCCTCAATGCAGGTGAATTTCCCTGCGAGAAATTATAGTGAGAAGGCAAAGTCGCCTGGTGGGTTGGAACAAGGCTTTGAGGTCAAAACAACCAAGGCTTTGAGGTCAGCTGGGGCCTGGTTCAGGCTCACACTAGCTGTGTCCTCAGACAAGTGTCCTCAGACAAGACAAGTGAATCGCTCTGTGTCTCAGTTTCCTTATCTATGGTAAAGTAGGGATGGTGATGATGATGATGATGGTGGTGGTGGTCGTGATGGTACCTACCTCATTTGGTTACTGTGACGATGCCTATAAAGAACTTAGTATGGTCCTCACATCATTAATGCTCAGGAATGTCAGTTGCCATCATCCTCATCAGCCTTATTGTGTTGCTAAGAGTGGGCCTAAGTAGACCATTCTTTTTTTTTTTTTAATTAATATTTATTTATTTATTTTGAAAGAGAGAGGGTGGGGGGAGGAGCAGAGGGAAAGGGAGAGGAAGAATCTCAAGCAGGCTCTATGCTAACAGTGTGGCTGACAACATGGGGCTCAATCTCACTCACCCGTGAGATCATAACCTGAACCCAAATCAAGAGCTGGACGCTCAACAGACTGAGCCACCCAGGTGGCCCCTCTTACTTCCTCTTATAAAACCTTTCTTTCCTTCCTTCTCTCCTCAGACCAGAAAGTCTCCTTTACCTACAGGGAAAAGTTCAAAGTTTTTAGTCCACTCTTCACAGACATGCTCTGGCCTGCTTTTCCATCCTTCCCTTCTTTCTTCACCCTAATCATGACCCCCTCTATTCTATCCCTTGCCTTGAGCATGTCCTGCACTTTGCCACTTCTGAGCTTTGGCTCCTGCTAGTGCCTCTGCCTGGAATGCCCAGACTCCTTCCCACAACCAGACAAAGCAAGCACCTTGCTCCTCTGTGATGCTTTGAATGTGGTCTGCCCTAGGCTCAACAGCCCCCCCCCCAACCCCTAGATTCCTTCAGTTCAGTTCTGTTCACATGGTCATCAGGGCCTTTAGGGCACAATACAGTGAGTGTATAGGCACATCGTTCTCTCTCTGTTCTCTGCACTGGACTGTGGGTAGCTGGTCTCCTCCCTACCTGTGCATCCCTGGAACTGAGACAGAGCCAGTCCCATGGGGGTGCTCTCAGCTCCAGTCCACTGCAGCACAGTTACTAGGTGATTTTCTAGAGCTCCCTGGACTGTCTGCTCCATGGGGCAGGGCCTTATCAGCCTTTCTGGCTTGTAACCACAGGGGGGCCTAGCACAAGCACAGAACTCTGCTCTCACTTCAATAGGAATAGTCAAGAACAAATGAGGTAGTGAATGAGAAAGCGCTGTGTAAACGGTGATGGGCTGTGGTATGTGAGAGTCAGTGTGGTTATGCGATTCATGGGAAGTCACTGTTCTCATGGCTGCTAATGGGAGTACCATTACCTCTCTAAGGCTCAGCGCGCCCAGGGATCAAGAGAGTATCTTTCGAGGTTCTGAGACACCTCAGAGGTTACACAGGAAGGGGCAGCTGTCCCAGACAGCCCAGAGCTCATGCCACCGGCCCTTGCTCTGGGCCTTCTCCTTGCACCAGAGCACATAGTGATTTCTCTCAACACCCCTGCTTCACCTCCTCTTCTCTCTGGCATCTGTCATCAGCCTATTTCATGCCTCTACTCTCCTCAGCTGGGCTCACACAGCAGCCTCCTACCCAGCCCTCCAGCTGGCATATTGACTGTCTTTCTTCCACTGTGCCTCCATGAAGCTCCTTCCCAGCCTGAGGAAGGGCAGGGGAGGCCAGTCCTGGTTTGACTCCAGTTCATTCCTGTGTCTGATCTTCCAACAAAGGCTGTGCTGTGCCTGGGAAACAGAGACCTGAGCAAAACAGTGGTGGTTTCTTCGCTCTCTTGCAGCTCACAATCTAGGGGACGCTTTCCAACCGCACTTATTTATAACCTCAGTGCCACCTCTCAGCTCCCTCCTGCTGAAGTCTGTGTACTTGTGCTCTGTCAGAAATGAGAGCTCCCCTGTGACAGACTCTGCTAGATGTCCTCCTAATATCAGCTCTGCCCTTCTGCCTTAGGAGTAGGATTCATTCATTTAGCATGCTGCTACCTGGGATGGAGACTGTATCTCCCAGACTCCCTTGCAATGAAGTGTGGCCTAAGCTTCAGTGACTTGCCCCAGGACATCCAGGAAGAAAGGGTCAGAGCCACTTTTCTGGTTTCAAAGCCTATTCTCTTAACCATGAGGTAATTAACACAAAGCTATGTCCATCAAGAAGGCCTCTTGATTGAATGAATGTTTGAAATGACCTCTGGCCCTGATTGGGGGTGGGACCTGAGGAGGACATCCTTGCACCTACCTGTGTTGTAATGCTTCGTGCAATATCTCAAGTCCTTCTCTTCTTTCAGGATAAACTGGGGTAGAGTTAGTCCATCTGCCACCTGCACAGCTCCCTGCTCCTGCCACTCGAAGATCAGGTCATTCATGGTATAGCCAACTGGGATGGGGGTTCAGAAGAAGGAGCAGTCACCACCCAGAAGCATTTATTTGAAGCATGTCAGAGTTGGTTTGGGTTAGAGACTAAGAGGCATTGGGCACTAGATGGAACTCATGAGACCATGTTGTCTTGCTGCCACTCTCTCCCAGCCCACTTGCAACAAAAGAGGTTAAAACTGGTTTAATTATTTCTAGCCTCTGCCCTTCTACCGTGCTTCTTACCCCTCCCACCATCTGACACTGGCTTGTCCTTTTGTCCCCAATACTTACCCCATGGTCATATTCAGCTCACATCTGCTACTTTGCCTGCACACCATCCTTGCAAGCTCCCTCTTTTCCTCTGGGGAATGATTCTATAGAATACTGTTGTAGGACTATCAGTTGGGGGCCAAGGTGTGAGTTAATGACTCAACTATATCAATCAGATCCTCTATGGCAGGACTTTGATTCTATCTATCATCTATCTATCTATCTATCTATCTATCTAACATTTATTGTCAAAATGGTTTCCACACAACATCCAGTGCTCATCCCAACAGGTGCCCTCCTCAATGCCCATCACCCACTTTCCCCTCTCCCCAACCCCCCACCAACCCTCAGCTTGTTCTCAGAATTTAAGAGTCTCTTATGGTTTTCCTCTTTCTCTCTCTGTAACATTTTTCCCCCCTTCCCCTCCCCCCTGGTATTCTGTTAAGTTTCTCAGGATCCACGTATGAGTGGAGAGATGTATCTGTCTTTCTCTGCCTGACTTATTTCACTTAGCATAATACCCTCCAGTTCCATCCATGTTGCTACAAATGGCCAGATTTCATTCTTTCTCATTGCCACGTAGTACTCCATTGTATATATAAACCACATCTTCTTTATCCATTCGTCAGTTGATGGACATTTAGGCTCTTTCCATAATTTGGCTATTGTTGAAAGTACTGCTATAAACATTGGGGTACAAGTGCCCCTATGCATCAGCATTCCTGTATCCCTTGGGTAAATTCCTAGCAGTACTATTCCTGGGTCATAGGGTAGATCTATTTTTAATTTTTTGAGGAACCTCCATGCTGTTTTCCAGAGTGGCTGCACCAGTTTGCATTCCCACCAACAGTACAAGAGGGTTCCCGTTTCTCCACATCCTCTCCAGCATTTATGGTCTCCTGATTTGATTCTTGAGGCAAGTGACAAAAGGTTCAGAGTGGGCTGGTGCCAATTCCGCTCAGAGGTGGTGCTCCAAGGGGCTGCCCCATTGGTTCCTGCTGCCTAAATCCTCTGCCCTGGTTCCTGTGCTTTCAGCTTCTCTTTCAAGTCCATGAGGACCCCCTATGTCCTTCCATTTCTTTCCATCTTTTAAATTGGATTGGTTTCTGTCTGCAATCAAAGAAGGCAGCTACCTCCTCTGGTAGGTTCACTTGTGACCTCCTACATAAAACCTTCCCTAGCACCCCTTCTCTTTCCCAACCAGAAGGAAGCACTCTTCTGCCATGAGGCCACAGCATTTGTACTTCTCACAACACGCTTACCGCTTGCCGCCCTGTGTTAGAGTTACTTGTGCATCTAGTTGTCTATCTTCCTGTGAGTTCAAGGACTATGGCTTGTTCAAACTCTTCCTGCTGCACTCCTGGAGATCATGTCCGCAAGGGACATGGAACAGAGTCTTGGGAAAATACTGCTGGCTTCAAAGTTGGGCCTCAGCCAGACAATGGAAGGGGGGTTATATTTCTAATGCATTTTCTAAAGCAAAGCCCCTCATCTGGTATTTTGGGCTAGTGCAGTAATCCCCTGGGGTACAGCAGTTAGGAGTAGCTGTATGGGAAGTTCTGCTCGTCCCCTGGGTAAAGGGGAGTCTGGTTTTTTTCTAAAACCCTCAGGCAAGGGACTCACAGCTTTCCAGTTGCATGATACACGTCTGGACGTCCATGGGGAAATTCTTTAAGTCCATGGGGCAGGCCAGTGTCAGGGTGATTCTGGGAAGAGAAAAGAATTGGATGATGGTAGACCCACAGACTAGGGAAGCTGTGCCTCTGTGCTAGTGATTACCAGAAAATCAGTTAACTTGGACAAGTCAAGGAGGGCAGGGAGCTGGCGTGTATTGAAATAATACATGTCTATTTCTATATTCCAGCTATGGAGTGGAGGCTCAGAGAGATACAGTAGGTTGCCTAAAGTCACACAGTGGAATTCGTGGGTTTCTTTGGAGACTATCTGGCTTCTAGACATCTGCCTGTAGCAAGCTGCCTGAAGGCCTGGAGGCCAGGGGCTGTCTTCTGCAGAGTCTGGATTTTAAGTTGAGTAGCCCCAGGTCTCAGGTTTCCCAGGTGCACCTGTCAGGTGCTTCAAGTGGTTCTTTGCTGCCTCCCTTCATACACTGGACTTATCAAAAGCCATTTCAAAGAGGCCCTTCTGGGTGTCCAAACAGAGCTGGCTCACACCTGTGGGCTCACGCTGGAGTCAGTTGGGAAGTGGTGGGTACCCCCAGGCTTCTGGGATAGCCGTTTATTTTGGGTTGTTAGACCCTTGAAGAGGCTCAGCCTTAGACCCAGAGGGAGTCCCCCTAACAGAGCTGAAGTCTGCAGCTCAGGTTAGGATGCAAGGCTTCAGCTTAAAAGGCTGTGCCAACATCTGAGCACCTGCTGCAGAGAATAGAGAAGAAAGGCTCTCGGAGCCCCAAAGAGCCTTAGATCATCAGGCCAACTCCCTCATTTGACAGGTGAGAAAACTGAGGTACAGAGAAGAATTGGTAGGGACTCATGCAAGGTCACACAGCAAGTGATGGCTCAAAGGCAGGATTCAAAACTTTGTCTCCTGGCCACTGGATTCTGAGCTCATGTGTTTGCTTTCCAACACTGCCAGCCTGAAAGGCATCTCACTGGCGGTGGTCTAGTGACACTTAGCTGCTGGCATCTTAGCTGCAGATGGTGAGTGCATGGCCCTGTGTCCACTTCCTCCCTCCAGCTCACTTCCAACTGCTCTGGATTTGGGTCCCATTTAAGCACAAGGTAAGAAGCAAGAGGGGGGAAAGGGAGGTGAGAAGGAAGGGAAGAATGGGGTGGGAGAGGGAAGGGGAAGGTGAAGAGAAAGTGAACACAGTTGAATTTCTGCAGATAAAAGCTCCAAAGTGGGGCAGCTGTCACACTAGGTTAATTTCCTGAAGTTGAATGACCTTGGGAACATCACTTTTTGCTGATTTGTCCTTCTGTCATGCTGCATGGGGCTTAGCTTTGTAGAGATACAAAACTAGCCTGGCAGCAGCAAAATCCAAGCAGGGTAACCTCTCCTGCCCCAGCCAGTCAGGGCACTTGGTGGCTCTCATGAGCTCATCACCCTTCCATCTGGATGTGCACTGGCAGGACAGGCTCCGGGGTGAGGAAGGCCACATCGGCCTCTGGCTCTACCCAGCCATCCCCTCCTTAGTGCCTCCTTTCCCTGCTGAGGTTCTTAAGTACCCCCCTCCTACCTGGCCTGCTCTCAGGAGACACCCCGAGTCCAGTCACATCTGAGGGTTAGGATGTGTATGCAGACTCCCCTATAGTCCTGGACATTTAAAGTTCATCTGCTAACAAGAAGATTTCTGAAACAAGATTTCTTCCTCCAAAGAACTGGAGGGGGAGGAGGAGTCATTTAGGGCCAGGGTCCCTTTTAAGCTCTTTGAAATAAAAACATATTCATTCATTCATCAAATGAGTACCTATCGAATGCCCTACACTGTTCCAGGTCCTGAGCAGGCATCAGATCCATGCTAACAGATGAGAATCTAGGCTGACTGTGGGAACTTTGGCAAATGACTTAAACTTTAAGATCGTCACCTGTCTAATCTGCAAAGTGGGCATAATAAAAAAATACTTCATGGGATTGATAGGATTACAAATAATTTATGTAAACTACCCAGCTTAATAAATAAATTCTCAGTGGATGCCAGGTATGTAAGAATCTAAAATGGACATTGGTCATTTTTTCCATGGCTCGAGGGAAGAAGTTGGGAATGAGGTGGGGAGAGTTGGCAGGAGACTCTGAAAGCTTGCCCCTAAACAGCATCTGCAGGATACCTCCCAGCTGGGAAGGGGGTCCTAGCTTCCTAGACCCAGTGCAAGGTATGGAAGATAGAAAGGGTTTGGGGCAGCCCTGGCTCGTATCTGTGAGTAGCACCATCCACCTTTCGTTGGCTGTTGAAGTGGCTATGACTTTTCAGGCTTTGTGCCTTTGCTCCTGCTATTTTTTTTTTTTTTATTCTGATAAGAACATTTAATGTGAGATCCAACCTCTTAACAAATGTTTATGTATACAATGCAGCATTGTTACCTGTAGGCATAATGTTGAATGGCATCTCTCTAGAACTTCTTCATTTTGAGTAACTGAACAGCCCTGCCACTGAGCACTGCCTTTGAATACTCTTTTCCATTTTTGTTTTATTGAAATTGTGGGTGAGCTTAGGGGGCCTAACCTTAACCCCCCTCCCGCTCTTTAGGATGCTTCCTCGGTTCCCCTGGTTATAATGAACCACTCACTCCTAGGATTTCTCAAGGTATTGGATTCTCAGTCGCTGAGTGTCATTTACAGAGCTGGCTCTGTGTATTGTGCAAAGGAGCTGGGTTGCCAGGGCCTGTTCACGCCTGGTTGGTTCACTTCTTAGTATCTGCTCCCCGAAGGCAACGGGACAAGGTGTGTTCTGAGGAGGAGGGTGGGGGCGAACCTGTGTGGAACTCACCTGATGCTATAGAGGACATTTCCGTTCCGGGAGATCCTCAGCAGTTTGTTGTCTGTGGTAATCTCGTGGAAGTGGGCCCCCTTCTCGTTGGCGAAGAACAGGTCGGGTTTCCAGATGGAATCCAACATGGATGGGTCCAGGTCCAGAGAGTCATCCGGGTACTCATTGTAGGCCAGCCGGGGGTCGTTCCACTGCTGCCGCAGGAAGATGTTGACCCTATAGTCCTAGAGCCAGGAGATGAGGAGGTAGAGTCAGGGTCAGGCCCTGGGATGTCAACTCTCAGAGGACCCCTGGTGCTTTTGTTCAGCATGCCCCAAAGTCCCTTCAGGAGAGTTATGAGTGTGGTTGCGCCTAATATGGGGTGAGATGTAAAGTCTGTGCATCAGGAAAAAGTCAAGGGAGTCATTCCTAGAAATCCTCTTAAATTAAGTACATTTAGTTCTGAACTGAGTTATTTAAATGTTTTCTTTTGAAAAATTAAAAAAAAATAATAAAGTTCTAACTGGGGCACCTGGGTGGCTCAGTAGGTTATGCATCTGACTCTTGATCTCAGTTCAGGTCTTGATCTCAGGGTTGTGAGTTCAGACCCCACCCTGGGCTCCCTGCTGGGCGTGGAGCCTACTTAAAAAATAAAAACAAACAAACAAAAAATAAAGCACCGACTGATGTAATAAACACCTGTTTTCATCCTGTTGACATTTTGCCCTGTTTGCTTCATTTTTTTAGGTGAGATTAATAGTCCATCACTGATAAGGTTGAAGTCTCCCTTTTATTATCAATGCCATCAGGGTAGTAATTCCCATGCACACTGAGGTTTGAGAGTCACTGCTCTAGATGGATTGAAGGAGCAAAAGGAAAGGCTAAAAGCTGATGCCTGAGCATTCACACTATTCTGTCTAAAGAGAGCAATTGATTCCCAAGCAGCGAAGGAAGGATAGGTGAATTCAATGGTCGTAGGCTTCACATCTCTCTGTTTCAATACCAGCCTTCTGCAACCTTCTATCATATATGTTGCTTTATTTCTTTGGGGAGAATTTTCTCAAAAAAAATTTTTTTTAAATGTAAGCTCTACACCCAATGTGGGGCCTGAACTCACGACCCCGAGATCAAGAGTTGCATGCTCTTCCAACTGACCCAGCCACCCCTGGGGAGAATGCATAGATGTTGTGGAGTTATACCTTACTAGGTTCTCAACTCAGTGCTTGGTTAAGGGCTTCTCTGATGTGACTGTAGTGGAGTTATGTGGCTGAAAAAAGTCATGATCAAACCCAAGAGGGAAATGTTGGACTAAACCAAATGCAATGGATTTTTTATTGTAGGACTTCTCAGAGACCTTAATATGCTGACTATTTGTACGTATCTCCAAGAAGGGAATAGAATATGCATTATTTCCCCAATTTATTTTGGCTATAGAGCTCTTGTGTTTGTACATGATGCTTGTCTTCTATAGAACCTACGAGAAGAAGTATGGTCCTAGTCGAAACTTTCTCCCCCACCCTCCACCTTTGTTTTTTTTTTTTTTTTCTTTTTTTCCAGATGGACAAAATGAAGTCCAGAGTTAAGACCGACCTGGTATCACTCTGAAAAAGCAGGTCAGAGTTGATTCTGGAACACAAGAGTCCTGACTCCTAGGGGAGGATTTGGTCACTTGGTTCTAGAGGAGCCGAAAGAGTCCATTTAGTTTCCATTCACAGCCTGAGAAGCAGTTAGCGGGGTGGTGGGTCTCTGTGCCAGGAAAGTGGGTAATGAAGTTAAGAAATATCTTCATGAAGAAACGTTTTCAGTTTTGTTAGGGAGGCATTGTAAATCTGTGATCTATGAATATTATGTCACTGCAAGTAGAATTTGGGACATATTTGTGCTTTCCGGGAAGAAGAACATGGGTATCTATGTTGGATTCTCAAAAGGGTCTATAGTTCCTTAAAAGATTAATGACCTCAGTTCAAGTCCAACTCTGAATGCTCTCCTTCACCAATAGTCTCCACACAGGAGCACCTGCTGCTTTCCCTGAAGGTGCTGGATAAATGAGATCATGCTACATTTTCTTTTCCTAATCACTCTGGGTCTGTCATCAGCAGGGATGGACGAAAACAATCCTCCTCCCCACCCTCACCCTCACCCCTGCCAGCATCCCCCACAGCACATGCCTCATTCTGTTCTCCTTCAGAAATATCCATAGCTTCATAAAATGTTCCAAGGTATTATATAGGATTGTTCTATAATTTCATTGAGGCCTCTCCCTCCAGCCCTATAGAAAATGACATTTGGTCTCATAATCTCATGTCTTATAAGTCCCGTGGTGGAGGGAGAACTCTAGGCCAGACCTGGATGTTGATACTTTGTTTTTCCTGCTGACAGTAATGGACGGCTCCCAATCTGGCCCCATCTGATTGGGGAATTAGAACTAGCCTCTCTTTCTCTCTTGGATTTTACGTGAAGTGCGCGCGCGCATGTGTTTGCGTGCATGTGTTTGTGTGTGCAACGGGGCACTGGACAAGTCGTGTCAGAGTAAACGAGACTATGAGTGGTTGGGCAGGAAGAGCCTTCGGTCTCCAAACCCCAGCTGCACTTTTGATGTTCTTGCCAGTGATACGTCACACCTGTTGACGTGACCGGAAGGAAGAAAACAAAGTGGCATTTCTTAAAATGGTCTGTTAGGCACCAGGTGCTGTTCTAGGTACTGTCACACACACTTAATCCTCACGAAACCCCTGCATACCAGACATTCAAGTTCCTTTAGTGAGGGGAAAGAAACTGAGGCTTGTAAAGGTTATGAAACTTGCCCAAGGCCCAGACTAGTAAGTGGCAGAGCTGGGCTCTGAATGCGTCAGCCAGGCCCTTTGTTATGTCCCACAGGTGTGACTAGGCAGTTCTGTGCCAGAGATACTGCTCTGTCATCCTCACTGCCTCGGTAAATTCTGCCTGCTCAGCTTAGGTGCTGTCTCCTGCAGGAGTCTCAATGCCTCCAGACTTCCACGATCTCTTCCTTTTCTGATCTCTTTGGCAAGACAGAATCACCAGGAACATTTAATTTAGCACTGGGTGCACCTTATCTTCTCAACTTGATCGGCAGCAAGTTGAGAGGATGAATCTGACCTTATATTTCTCCTGCACCATCCCACCTACCCACGCAGTTAGTGCACCTACGAGCTACCCAATACCCAGAAGGAGGAGGAAGCAAAGCCAGAAAAAGTTAGAGTTAGGAAGAGCTTTCCTCATTTTACAGTGGAGAGACTGAGACCCGGAGAGGGAAGGCATTTTTCTAAGGTCACGTAGCGGTTCAGTAAAGGACCTATTGGCTTCTCTAGGCCTCAGTGTTAACACGAGTTAGGATAGGGGAGCCTCTCTCCCTCTCTCTCTGCCCCTCCCCCCACTTGCACTGTCAATGTCTCTCTAAAAAAAAAACAGTTGGGATAGATGGTCTCTAAGAACCCTTCCAAATCGAACAGATAATTGTTACTAGTTTTATTTTATTTTATTTTATTTTATTTTATTTTATTTTATTTTTATTTTTCCATTTAACTGAGCCTCTATTAAGGACCAGGCACAGTTCTAGGCACTGGAGAATCTACCAAGAACAAGAAAGACAGACATATTCTTGCAGTCCCAGAGCCTAAGTGTAATGTTTACACCACACGGAGACAAGGGCTACGATGGGGATGAAATACAGGGTGCCATGGAGATGTAGAAGACAGGCCCTCCAGCCAGATTTAGGGCAGGAGGCTAAATCTGGTCAGGGAAGGCTCCAGAAGAAGCGATATTTAAGGTGAGGCCAAATAAGATTGAGCCAGAGGGGAAAAGCACTTTGGGCAGTAGGAGCCGCATACTGGGAGGTCTTGAGGCAAAGGAAGGATGTGGCACTTTAGGGGTGCCTGGGTGGCTCCGTCGGTTAAGCGTCCAACTTTGGCTCAGGTCATGATCTCGCGGTTTGTGAGTTTGAGCCCTGCGTCAGGCTCTGTGCTAACAAATCAGAGCCTGGAGCCTGCTTTGGATTCTGTGTCTCCCTCTCTCTCTGCCCCTCCCTCACTCATGGTCTGTCTCTGTCTCAAAAATAAGTAAACATTAAAAAAAAAAAAAAAAGGAAGGGCATGGTCCTTTGGAAAAAACAGCAAGTAGATGTGTTAAGGGGAAGGTGCTTGTAGGGCCTTACAAACTCTCCGGAGGGATTTGGACTTCATCCCGAGAGTCATGCGGAGCCTTTGAAAAATTTTAAGTAGGGGAGGGCATTATGACATTTTCATGTTATTACTGATATTTAAAAAGATATGTTAGTTTTTCTTATAAGAGAAGTAAATGCATGTTGATCGCAAAAAAGATAAAGGTACATCACTTAAAAGTAAGAAAAGAAAACAAGAGCGGTGGGGCCTCATTAGGAAATGACCAGTGCAAAGGGAAAGTGGAAGACCTGGAGAATGTATCTGGTGTCCACAAGCAGCATGACTCCTCCCAGCAGCCCCCTGCTCCTCCCTTCAGAGGCTGCTACCCAAACAAGCTGTTGCCATCGATTTTTTCCTCCTTAGTTGGTAAACAGCAGTGGGAAATGCAGTTCAGAAGAGATCAATGTAATTGGTGTAATAGGCTGAAAGCTAGATGCTGTTTTGCTTACTTAGCCCTGTAATCACACTGGTTAGCGTTCGACATGCTCGGGGTCTCCGTTCAGGGTCAGGGGCCAGAGGAGCAACACTTGAATTCTCCACCCTAGAGCCTCAGGTTCCACCTCCGGTTGTTGGCTTCCAGGTCTCGAGCTCTCAAGGCTGGCCCATCTAGGTCTGGGGTGGGAGGGATTTCCTGAGCTCTCGCTCTGTAGTCTCTAGGATCAATTCACCCATCCTGCCTCCGAGAGTCGCTGATGGTCTGTTTTCTGGTAATGGGGCAGCTACCTTGCTTATAAGACCAAGGTAGAGCATTTATTCCTTCATTCACTCATTCTACCACTCAACAAACATCTATTGAGGGCTTCCTGTGTGCCACTGCAGTGGGATCTGCCCCCCACTGCCATCCCCTCTGTGTCTAACTTCACGCTCCAATTTTTCCCACTAAACTCTCCTAAACTCAGCACTGTGGTCAATTAGGAAGCATGAAGTGTCTTAATAGGAAGGGGCCTGGATGAATGTGGTGGTGAGAAGGGAATGTGGTAGACAGGATGTGCTCCCGTTGCAATCAGAGCCAAGAGATAGTGTCCAAGGCATGGACAAAGGCCAGATTCTCATACCTTCCTAGGTCT